GAGAAACAGTACAAATGTAAGGATGTGGCAAAACCTTTAGCCAATGTCGAAGCCCCAATAAATATGAGAGAATTCATACAAGAGACAGGCCTTACGAATGTAAAGAATGGGGCAAACCCTTTACCTAGTGCTCAGACTTTACCCAACATCAGAGAATTCATGCTGCAGAGAAACAGTACAAATGTGAAGAGCATGGCACAACCTTTAACCGTTGCTCAAGCCTCACTAAACAGAATTCATACTGGAAAAAAGACCTACAAATGTAACGTGTGGCAAAGCCGTTATTGAGCATTTGCTCCTTAATCGGCATGTGAGAACTCATGCTGACTAGAACAGTAACACTGTAAATAATGTGTCAGACCATTTAGCTGGATTTAAAGCCTCGGCATCAGAGAATGCATCCCAGAGAGATTCTCCATTCGTAATAAATAGTGAAAGAGACTTGTCCAAAATATACGCTTCAAAAATGCCCACGGAATTCTTATGTGAAAGTGACTTTAAAGATGTAAAACATGTAGGAATGTGTATAATCGAAAATGAAACCTAAAATACCAAAATTCACAGTAGAAAATAATAAGTCAATAACACTTTTCAGAAATTAAATCAGAATAGTTAGAGAACAGGTCCAAAAAGATAACTAACTTGTTAATGTGCTTCGAAATACCAAGTAGATAGATGTTTGGAAAGGTGTGTTACTTACAATGTGTCCTTTATATTGACAGTATTCAAAAATTTCTGGAAAGGAAATATTAATGTTCTTCAACTCTTAAACCACTTGTGCTTTGCTTCTACTTCTTGTGTGTATGTTAAGTCAGTGGGTTGATTGTTGCTCCTCAAAGATCTGAGTGCCCTAGTTATATAGGTGAGGTTTATTTATATCTACTTTTGAATGGAAGATTAAGGACAATGTATTATATAATTTTTGAGGAAAGGCTAAATGAAGTTGCTGATTTTTAGAACCGGATATGAGTCGCCATGAAGTAGGTGTTCAGGGCATCATCGTTGCATTAGTGTAAGATGGGGAAACAGTTTGAATTTTAACTAGTGTTACCAATTTCTCTTGAAGAGAAAAAGGTAGCATTTCATTAAAATCCTGATGTAACTTCATAGTAGCTATAGATTGAAGTCATGAATATGATTCCATGTTGTTTAAATAAAGAGTTCTTGAGCAACATCTGAGAAAAGTATAGATAACATACCTAAGTGCAAAAAGTTATTGTGCATCTGTGTTTACTAAATAATCACCTACCCCCTTGAAAACCGTAGAAGGCATAGCTCTCAGATCATTGTATCGGGAGAATAGGAATGCTTCTTTTGAATGCTTGTAATGTGTATTTTGACCAGTGATCATACAGTAGGTTTGTAATTATTTAGAATATGTGTAAACTTGATGTTTTCCTTAATAAAGGTGAGTGTATTTGAATGTGTTAATGCTGCTGTATAACAAATGAAGTGTTATCCTGCTCCGAGTGTCAACCTGTCCCACCATATTCAAGGTTGTGCGGAACAATGTCCTATTTGGTCACGCGGTGGAATGACATCATTAGCAATCGCTGTCTCCTGTGCCCTTCAGCCTTCAATAATATGGAAAGATTTCCCTTATAACTTACACATTATATTTTTCTTATTGTAGATATCGGGGCACTATGATGGTTACAATAAAGATGACACAGGAGTATTTTTGAGAGTTTAGCCAAACTACTTTATGATATTGCCACCTTGACATTTATTTCGTGTTGCTACGGAGTTTTGAGCGGACACTGCCCTCTTCCACTGGTGCACATACTAGAGACTAGCTTACAGAGTCACAAGTAAACGTGAGCTGATGTGTCTTGTCCAGCAGTTCCAGTGAGCAGTAGTCTTCTTGCACCTCAGGGCCTTCACCTTGTATGTCCCTTAGATAGGCTCTCCACAGAATTTCCTAAAACCTTGCCATTTTTGGTTTCAATTGAACAATCTGGACCTAGCCTGAGATCCCCAAAGCATTCCATGTAGGGACCTTAATAACGGCATTTACCCTGGGTCCTGCCACGTTCTGCTTCCTTCCTGTCTTGGCCTCTTTGTGTAACGCATCCAGGCATGCTGTCTACTTCTTTAGGGCCTGTGAGTTGTCAACTTGTCTTTCTGAATTTCCCTTGTGGTCTTTGTGTAACTGCTGCTCATCATCCAATACTAGCGGGCTTTGCTTAACAAATGTGTTAATTTGACAGAATCCAAAGAAGTATAATTAAAAGCCCTATTTTTGTAATTCTGAATCACTATAAAATTTTACCTCATATTTTTCTTTGCATGTTTTTTTCCTGAGCCTCTGTAATGTGGATTTTCATGGTTTTGATATACACTGAATGCAGTAGGTAAATAATCTAAGGATGTAATTTAGGAATAAGAGGACTTATGAGGAAGGAATGTGTGTGTGTGTTGTCTTCAGAAAGAAAGAGAAATAATGGATCAAAATCGGTAATTTAAAATATTAGATGATTTATTAGTAGGCTGAAACCTTACAGGTTTATAATGTGAATAATTCTCTGTACATTACATTGAATTTATTTCTCCCAAATATCATGACTCTTGGTTTGGAAGTTTTCCATTGGAGTTCTGTCTTGTTTTACTTTCCTGTGTCTCATGTAAAACCTACCATATGGTTTCTTTGTTCCATACTTAGTGAAATGTTGCTTATATGACCTGCTCAGGGATTTTAAGTGTGGTTTTCATGGAATTTAATGGTGTACAAAAATCATGTAGAAAATGGAGGTGATTCCACAGTGAGCATATTAAGTTGGAGTTCGTTTGGTACATTTCATTTCTTCTATTAGAGAAAAACTAATTCAATAGTTATTGTTTTTGCTTTTTATAAGCGATATCACCAAAGTTATTCTCCTTTGCCAGTTCAGGTGACAGCTTGGCAATGTCAAAAGTCATTGAATTGTTTGGACTTTTATATGAAGTGAACAAACACATGTGACAACACTGTGTGTATCGTAGATATTCTATAATTAGGCAGAATATATTTCAATAGGAGTGATGTTGTAGCCCTGGGTAAGAGATAGAAAATATCCAGGATGAGGTTGATATGGATTCTGCATGTGGAGAGAGGTCACCTGTTTCAGGCTGCACTATTGACTCCCTGAATTTATTAAGATAAATTCTACATGTTTAATTTCTGAATTATTTCCAGTTCATCAATTTCTTTTAATTTTCATTTCTAGCTACATATACGTTACAACCATTCTCATTTGAAGTGTGATGGCTACTGTGTCTCAGTGCTCTCCCCACCCCACATATTTCTTGCAGGCCATTTTAAGTTCTGATCTATAGTTTGGAATTTTTCTAGCACAAGGACTCATCAGTTATCAGTGAAGATTTCGGATCTTTTTTTTTGAACAAGGGAGCCCCTGATTCACGTTTTCATGCTGAGTCCTCTATTTCTGAATGTGGATATTGAATGCTAGGAAAATAAACAGAATGGCATCTGTGTAGTTGAAAATTGAAATGTTCTTCCTGATCCTGATTTTCTTTGGAATTCTGAAGAATTTCTGTTATATCATCTCTACTGCAGTGGAACCATCACAAGTTCAACAGGTTTTATTCTGAGTCATCTGCATGTAGCCACTGTTTGTCATTCTTTCTCGAGGAATCCCAGGGACCATGGCAAATTTTGATTTGAAACATTTTCATCATGATTTTGGGTGCAAACTTATTGTCTGTTTACATCATGGCCCTAAGTGTATTCATTGGCACTTACTTTAATCAGTCAGGCCTTGGACCTGTAAATTTTCATTGTATTTCAGTCATATGACAGACATACTCTTTACCACCTCTTTGTATTTTTTTAAAAAGTTCACATTATATTAATGGATGTCCAAGTGTTAAATTTATAAAATATAACTCAGCACAAATGAGAAGCAAAATATTTCAAAGAAATAAAAATAAGAAAGAATAGCTCTTTTTTTTTATGTCATTGTATGTGTTTATCTCCTCTCTGTGTTCATAAAACACAAAGAGTATCATCCACAAACAGATTTATGAGATTAACACAGTTGAAAATAATCTCGATTTCATTTCAGGTAAATTTCATTAACATTAAAATTTTCTTGTCATTTCTAACGTATACATAGTTTCCATTTTTATATCTGCATATTATTCGAGTCACTTCATCTTGTTTCTATTCATCTCAGTTACAGAAATTGCTATGAACGTTCATGACAGTTTGCATATTGGTCTGTCCTTTTTGATAAATTCAAAGTAAAGTTTGGAGTAAAACCCAGGCTCACCCACTAACTGGATGTTTCACAATATTCTCATTAAAAAAGGAAGAATAGCATCATTATTTTGAGATTACTTATGTGTTTAATGAATTAAGATATAAAAACTATTGTTAGAACACGAGTACATAGTAAGTATTAAAGGATTATGGTTGCTATGCTTACTTCTCTGAGACCCGTAAATTCCATAAAATTCTTCAAAGTACTGTATGAATTTTTCCCTGTGTTTTCTTCCTCTTTGTTAGTTAAAGGTGTGACATGGACCTGAGACACTGGTGTCCCTAGTTAAAAGTGAACTTGTTAAACATGGAAACTCAGGCCCCACCCCAGGAATCCAAAATCAGAATGCATTTTTTGATCTCCAGTTCAATGTTGTACACATTAAAATTTGAGAACTGCTGTACAATTCTCACTCATCGTGACTTTTCCTCCTTAGAAATAGACAGTTTATCCTGTGTGATATAAATACAGCACTGAAAATTGGAAATGCCTATGTTGATGTCTTCATTTTCAAAATGTATCTTCCAGAAAAGTGAAGTCTATAGTGATTTTGTGGATCATATGCCATCCTTCTTTCTCAGAGTTAGAAAATACATTAGAGAGTATTAGCATCGAAATAATCGTTATTGGATAATTCAGGATACTCCGCTGGTTAAAACAACTTCTTTAACTCTTTTTTATTAGGTCAAATTATGAACTCTGCCCATGGCCATTTCGTATACATGTCTTTTATTTCAGGGACTGTTGATATTCAGGGACGTGGCCATAGAATTCTCTCAGGAGGAGTGGGAATGCCTGGACACTGCTCAGAGGGCCTTGTACAGGGACGTGATGTCGGAGAACTACAGGAACCTGGTCTTCCTAGGTGAGGCTGACTTCCTTCCAGAATTCTTATTCCACCTACAGGGTTTTGTTTCTTTCATTAGTACAGATTCT